CCACGTCACTGTCCCTGTGTAGCGATCTTCTTTTGTAGTAACATTTTGCTTCTTGGCTGTTTCCTACACGAAAATTCGTACAGTAAGGAACTTTCAATGGACGCGCTTATGTGAAATATTTATCAGATCAAATATTTAGCGCAGGTTTAAAGGGGCTATGTCACAAAGTTTATCAAAATTCAAACAGAAGGAACTGCCACTTAATTCTATGAAACAAAAAAATACCCGCTCAAAACATTAAAAGAAGGCGCATGTAAATATCGCAGCATATACTGAAGAAGACATGGATGGACAAAGTTAAAGATGATAAAACGGATTGCGGTGGTGGGTTTTGAAAACTTGTTAGCCTAACCGTTTCTCAAAATTCATTTTCGTTGTTTGTGACGTTTGCTATCACAGAGCGCTGGACGTCAGAGCGAGAGGTCACGGGTTCAATCCCCGGGTCAGACTAATGGAAGAAAGTACTGCCTTTGCCCTGCAAACGGTTAGACCTTCGCTCAATGCTCGGATGACCACGTAGAAATAGCGGCCCCCGTCTCCTTGGGAGACGCATTAGTGTCCGCGGTTGTTGTTTTTTTTTCTTTTTTCATGCCCTCGTGATGGTTTGGGCAAGTAAAATGTAAAGAGCAACGATGTCTTATCTGAACAGCGTTAGTTCGATTCCCACCGTAGATCAGGTTGTTGCAGGTTGCGAAAAGTTGTTGCAGAAAGTAGAAAGTTGTACGTTGTACTCTTGCAACAAAATCCGCACATGTTTCACTTTCCCAAAACAAACTTGTTTTGTAACAAGTGACGCTCTTATGTATGGCGTGACTCCGGCGTAATTTTATCCAATCAGAGGTCAGTATTCATGCAACTTGCGACAACCTGATCTGATGCAAGACAGATTTGAACGTGGGTGGTTGAACGCGCAACATTACTTTTCAACTCGTTTTGCAGAAATGTTGCAAAACAAGTTGCACATTTTTGTTGCCCGTTTTACCGTAGATTTAGTGTCTTGAATCTTCTCCTCCACGTGAACATCATCCGCCGCAATGACACTCTCCGTATCCGTCTCACCCGGTATGGAGACAAGTGATTGCACATCAAGACCAGATTTTGACAAATTTGACATAGTACCTTCTCCAACACAACAACCCTGAAGAAAACAATAGATATCAGCAAACATCAACAGCACAAAAACGAGGAAAAACTAAATACAGCTAAATCAAAACAGATGATCATTGGACATTGGACATTTGGGCATACGGAACTCATTGCAATGATGTGCTTGAGGGACCACCAAAAATAGCTTCCCAATGCGCCATTCCCCATGCCAAAAGCAACCTTCACTGAGGCCATGTCCAAACGAATCAGGACATTTTGAAACCGCATACCGTAAAATTCGAAAATAAGCCCTGGGGCTTATATTTTTCAAAGGGCCTTTTAGAGGGCTTATATTTGAGGGGCGATTTAACGGAGGGTTTTTGCGTTACCGGTTTGGGGGCTTATATTTGGAGGGGCTTATACAAGGAGGAGCTTATTTTCGGAATTTTACGATATTTTTTATCCGGATTCGTGTGGACAGCACCTTAAACCTTCTCTGGAGAGCGGTTTGAAAACAATGCGGTTTCGGTGACCGGATTGATTGGTTTCGTGTGGACATAAGGCCGATCTGTGTAAAAAAAGTATGCGATTTCAAAAAAATCCGGAATCGTATCGACGTATCCTGAATAAGGTATATACCTTTCATGATGGTTTGACAGATGCTATACTCGGATACTTTCCCAGGGGACGATGGAAAATACAAGCTACGAAGTCAAAAATTGATATGGCTGTATGTTTTTGACGAATTTTGCCCTTCTTCATCATTTTCCCTCCTTTTATTGCTCAATTTTCTTCTGAGCTCTTCCGCGTACAATCTAATTCGCTCGTTTCCTAACACGTCATGCCGTACAAAGAAAGAAGGAGAAAGGAGTCGCTGCAGCGAAGGCCCTAGTTTTTTCCGTTTTCTACGTTGTCTGTGCGTAGAATTCCCTTGACTACGAGCACCTCTTGGGGGTAAGTCTGTCACCTCAATGCGTTATTTGTCAGTCAACAGGATTTCGAGTCTTGTAAATAATACATACGTGCGACGATACGATTCACGAGTAAAAAAAAAGCTCCATAGGAAATCGTTCCGTATAAAGGCAAACACACAGTTACCCATTACAGCCGAAGCGGCACCCGTCTACGTAAATGAGAACACGATTTTGGGGTTATCTTATAGTTAGTTTTAGCTTACTGATTTATGCTAACCTCTTGCAGACAAAAGATCGATGTTGCATCCTTAAGGTATTGCACTTGATGAGTTACTAAAATACAGATTTTATGTTCAAGAAATTCAGATATGCACCTGCAACAAAAGGATAGTATTATCAGAGCGTAATAAACGAGCACTATTTACATATATCACTTTAAGCAAAGCATATGAAGCTATCACATACTTCAATACATAGATTGGTCATTTGCACCATACAAAAAGCAAAAGTACAACAATGTACAGATAAAATTCCCATATTTGAAACTTTGTCCTGGCCACACAGAAGCTGGGCTAAAGAATTTCGGGGTAGAATGACAGATTTGACGTTCTGGTTTGAATGATTTGCTGGTTGGAAGAATTGAGGGTTCCAAAAAGCAGGGACTATAGGCGAATTCCTGTTCACATTTTTTGCCTTATTAACAGATGCTTATTATTATCTGATGAAGCTATAATAAAACAAAGTCTCTGAATATTGAAAGAGCATCACAATTTCAGTTATTTCAGTTTTCAGTTACGGCTGAGTTGTCAAAGTCAGCGGCCTGTCTAGGAAGCAGAGTAGACGACCGATACTAACAAAGTAGGCGGCGATTTTCGCGGGCAGCCGGCTACTTTTTGACTACCCTGAAGTTATCTCAGTCTGAAAATTTGAGCCCGATATACCGAATAGTTTCGTAGAAATTCTCTTTGAAACACCAAAAAACTTTACAAAGAATGTATGGGCTCATTAACGTTTTTTGCCACCCAGCAATTTTGCAGTTTTTGATTGCTTCTATTTGTTTTGCTATTAACTGCAAAGAGCTGAAAATTAAACCAACTGCTCACATCAAGCAGCTCACACGACTGTTTCAATTTTTCAACACAATGTGTATATACAGCCACGGCTTAAAATTATGGGTTAACTCGAATGCTAATGAGAGCAAAAAGGATAGGACTCGCCCCGACTCTTCCAAAGATTTGAAAAAAGCCTCGACTAACTTGTCAAAGAGTTTCCGTCCAACATGGGTGTCAACAGCACTCAAGGGATCATCCAAGAGATATATGTCTGCATCGTAGTAAACAGCTCTGTAAAGCGAAATAAACCAGATCGAGGAAAATTTTACTATTATTCATGTTCAAGCTGCCTGCGGACGCGATCACTAGACCAAGAAGCGATTAAAATAATGGCCCATTAAAGTCATCCGTCCAAATAAATCGCACGCCTATAACGTGGTCATTACATTTTCATTTAGTCCTCATTTGCATATAGTGAAAGTAAGTATCGCCTCAATTCTCGGGAATTTCTTGTCACTTCCTTTCAAACTCTTCGTCTTCGCCAAAACGTTTTCAGTTCTAACTGGTTCCCAAAGCATTTCTTTGCCTTACTTACTTACGTTCGCAGCTCTGCAACGAAAGGAAAACGTTTTTGCGATGAAAAATTCCTGAAAAAAAAAGCTACGTAACGAAGGAATAAACATCTACGCAAAGAAAGAAAAACGCACGCGACGCAACCACGAGAATTGGCTGCAAAGGCTGAGGGTGCGCGATGGACACAAGCCCCTCCAAAAAACATCTGGGGCGCCATTTAAGTAACCATCGGAATGTTTGGAATGTCAAAACGTCCTGGCTACTGTAACCACAGGAACCTTAAAAAAAAGAGAAACGGGCAACCCAACACAAAATAAGGGGTGCGGTTCACGAACGCAATGAGTGTCCCCCCAAACCTCTATTTCTCTTCCCATCCAGTAACAGTAAGCCTACATGACTGAGCAGCGTGACTGTGTCAAAATGACAATTGATTTCTATTTACTTTAGAGATAAACAAAATTCAACAACCCACAGTCAAGGGTCACTAAGCCAGCTAAAACAGCTTCATATGCAATTGCGCAGATAAGAGACAAATAGACAAAGAGACAAAGCAGGTAGAGCCACAGTTGTTGGGAACGGATAATTTACAGGTAAGACGTAATTACATACAAAGAAAACACAATGCCATACGGACCTTGCTAAACTAATGCGTGCCTTCTGTCCACCACTTAGCACCACACCTCTTTCTCCTACCAGAGTGGAATCACCACTGTGAAAAAGTTTCAAGTCCTGTAACACAAGTTAGAGGAGACGTTTAAATGCAGGTCTTTTATTAATACATAGGAAGAACAAAACCTTGCTGGCTAAGGTTGTGGCAATGTAGAGCCAATTAGCCGCATTTAAATCTAATAAATATTATCAAATTTAAAAACGACACGCTAATTATAGAAGGAGTCTAAAAGGGTCTGTGAAATCCCACGGCAAGAAAATGTGAGAAAAGGAATATAATCAGCAAAAGTTCAACGATGAAATGTAAACATTGCAAAATACAATACGGCGGTCATGGAAGTGGACAGGATATATTTAGGTCGTATAGGCAACTCTGGGCCCAGCTGTTGGAAAGTCGATTGGTGCTACTACGGGGTTAGATTTTAACGCGGGCCTTATTCGTTCAAAAGTGTATTTTTTTTTTCTTAAATAAGTTTATCCACTCTTTTGAGAGCACCGAGTCATCAAATTGTTGACAAAAAAAACTATTTCACATTTGAATTAAAATTTGGCTCTAACCTTGGGTTACCTTAACCCAGCATTAAACAAACCGACTCTGAACTACTTAAAGTGTTAAGTTAAACAGAACACAGTAAAACAAAAAAATAGAATGAGTGGCAACAGTAGAAGAAAATGAATATCGCAAAGAGGAGCCAGCTTCATTCTCGCCCTGGTGAACATTAATAAGTCGCCATTTGCACATCTCCCATAATACACCTTGTTTGACCCCAAAAATTTTCTATAACCTTTGTTTTCCATTTCTCCTCGGTATTACAGCCATCTCAAAAGGAACTGAAAACAACACTTGAGCAAAATTTTGGGGAGCAAACAAGGTGCATTTTGGAAGATGTGCAAGTGACGAGCTTTGTAATTTTTAAGGAGGAGACAAACCTTTTTAAGAGCACAGGCGTTGATGACTTGCTGATACCGAACTTTGTTAAATTCTTGACCAAACACAATATTCTCTTTGACTGTTCCTGAAAAAATCCAAGGTTGCTGGGACGAATAGCCCACTTTACCACGAACCTGCCTCTGACCATCAGAAATTGCCAGTTCACCGAGCATGGTCATCAACAATGAGGTCTGAAGATCAAAGATAAACTTGTCTAGTATTAAAGTGTTTTGTAATTTTGTGGCCAAATCATTTTGTCTAAAACCATCAAAGTTCAGCCAGAAAGTGGCTTGTTCGAATCGTCACCGAATCTTTACCAACGTAATGCACTAGCACTCTTCTTCCTAGAGTTCTTGTTCAATGAAAGCTATTACAAGAGCGCCATATATAGTGAGCTTGAAAACTTGGTATAAATGTTTAAAGTCAACATTTTGCCTCGTTAAACGTCTAATAATGAAAGCAAGGGTGGCGCAGCCACCAATGTGGCCCGAGTTTGAATAAAATAGTTGAGTTTGTTGTTGCTTGTCTCCCTTGCTCAGAGAGGTTTCTCTCTAGGTACTTTGGTTTTCCCTTCTCCTTAAAAAGAAAAACGCTTCCAAATTCCATTTTGATCTGGAAGGCACGAACACGTTTCAACGAGTTCTTAAGAACCCCTAAGTGCTCTGTGGGTAAACAATTTACAATCTGTAGCCTACAGTGCTTCTACACACATTAACTAGTACAGCTAAAACGTTCATTACCTTTCCCGCTCCCACTGGCCCAACAACAATGTGGAGTTCTCCTAACAAAAAAGAAAACATACTAATCATCAATACACAAGTCTATTATTATATTGACTCATGCATTGTTCGTATAAATTCGTGCTATACATGTATATACCGGATGACTCTAATACAGTGTAAACTCACATCACTGAAACAATGGTCAACTGGTCAGATGAAATTCACAAATACAATACAAAGCATGCTACTAAAGGCAATTAATATCAGAAAGAGGCAAAGATGAAAGCGCTCATTCTCAATACCTGGAGCAAAAGTATGGAACCTAATTCCTTCCAACTGGAGGGATACTTTTAAATTCGTTTTAAAAAGAAAAATTCGTGGATTTTTATTCCATACATTTTTGGATAGGGACGACTATGCTGAAGTCGATACTTTCGTTCAAATACAACGTCCAAGCTCTTCAAAATAGATGTAACGTATTTAATAGATTTAACTATTTTTAGCAAATAATTACGCAGTGTAGGGTATCTAGTTTTTGTTCTCTTAGTAAAATTATAATTATTACTTCTTTTTTTTAATATTTTCTTTCTCGTCCTCTTCACCTCACGCCTCAATTAGTTTAAGCTAAGTGCCGGTTGCGTGAAAAATTTCCTTTTTCCTCTTTAGTTCACTTTAATTTACGATTTGTAAACTGTTTAAATACTATTAAATCATATTAATGTAGTTAACGACCAGGAGCTATGGTCCCGGGTGTTTTTGGCATTCTTTGGTAGCGCGTTGGTCATCTGTAGCGTTGTGCGTGACTATGTTTGCGTTTGTAGCGTTTACCATTGTTCGTGAGCTGGAGGGCAGATTCCTGTCCAGCGGTATGTCGCTTTGGCGCATGCGGAGGCCACGTGCCTACGTTGTGTTTGCGTTGTACTCGAAGCTTTGTTAGCGTGGCGTGGCGTGGCGTTCCAGTAGCGTAGCGTTTCTCTTGGTTCCCCTCCCTCCCTCCGCTTTCTTTCTTATTTATTTAGTTATTTATTTTTTCAGGGGTTGGTTCATTTTACTTCCACTGGGCTTCTGGCCTCAGTGTGACGGGTGCTATAGTTGGGGGCTGGGCGCGGGGGGGCTCGTGGCTGGGTTGCGGGTTGGTAGGCCTGTGGGTGTTCTTCCGCCTTGGGGTGTATTGCGGTTGCAGCCCCCTGGCCCATGGGCACCCAACCTCCACTTGCGACGCAGGCGTTAATGTGTAATAAAGTTGTTGTTGTTGTTGTTAACTAGATATCTTTTTGACCTTATTGCAAACGCTTTCAAGCGTCTGCAAGAAACAATTCTTCAAAAAAAATTCTTCTGCGGGGTATCAAAAAGATGGTACTAACTGATTTCCCTCACCTAACAGGGCCCATAACTGTGCTTTCTTTAAGTCTCTAAAAAGTCCCAGGACCATTTGAAAACCCAAATGGCAAAAGACAATGAGGAAAAAAACACGAGTGCAGCCTCGCTCTTAGAATAAGCCAGCTTAGGTTTCACAGATTTTCAAGATTTTTCAAGATTGTTTGGCTATGACAACCTATGACCTGCTACTGTTTTTATTCCGAGACGGATAGGACGACCAACCTTCACTAGCAACCAACCGATAAGTAACCTTTCAAAGAAAAACAACATTGTCTTATTGCGGTCATTTAAGGTGATGGTAAATGTCTTCACGGGAGCAATGAACTCTAACCTAACTTTTCATTCTTTAGTCATTGTTCATCTCTCAGCCACCGCTATGACCAAACATACGCTCAGCTTCCATGACTAGGGGAACAAAAGGTCAAAGGGAAACCACGAGAACCAGGGAAATATGGGCAAACCCATAATATTTCCAATAAAATTTACAACGAAAAACAACCATCAGTTTTGACGACGGTCACTCATACTTGACGAAAACGTTACGTAACTACAACATTTTTTTAGATTCAACAGAAATACGTACCGATTTGGCTTCAAAGGTGATGTCCTTCAAGGTGGGGTTTAACGACTGAAACAGATGACAAAAATGTACTCAGTTACAAGAAAATGCTTAAATGTTTCATGCACCTGCCAGTAATTGTTCGTCATAGGTTAAAGGTATAATATGCTAGATGCTCATTCAATGGTTAACTAAACAAGAGGGCTTATGAGCGAAGAGAAGGGGGATGTTATAACAGCAGGAATAAAGGTGTTTAAAACGGGACCTACAAAGACATCTCCTATCCACTACTTAACATCTACTCTTTCTTTATGTGGTGTAATCTGAGCAGCAGAAAACTTGTTGATAGGCTGACTGATTTTTGATTAGCAAAACGCTGTATGCCTTTTGCTTAAAATAATAGTATGGTTTATATTCAAAAACGTTATGCTGAATTGTTACCTTATCCCAGTAAGCAGTAATATTATTCAGCACTACAACTGGAACATCAGCTTCACTTTTACTTTCTTGGACACACATATTTGGATCTCGCTCTTCAAGCTCTAAGAATTTCTAAAACATAATTAGCAATAGATTATCAATATGCAGTCTATGTATACATAGATATTGATTTCCATCGATTCAGGATATTCCTTTTGAGTTTCCCGAATAAAGATAAAATATGTATATAAAAACATTTTGAAGGAATTTACTTGGACGAGATTGATACAAGGAGGGCTTTTTATATGGAGGAAATTCGGATTAAGGTGATGACGATTCGCAACGACGATTTTTAGCGCAAAACAGCGTTACAACATTGTTGCGACGTTGTTTCGAATAGTTACAGCATTTTTCCAACATTGCAACGCTGTATTGCGCTAAAAACCATCGTTGCGAATTGTCCCGTGCAACACCACCTTTAGCCTGCGTCGCAGACGTAATCTAACCCCGGTTAGTAACGTCTGCGCAGTGGAGTGAGCGCCCATATCCTTGTACTTGGGCCCGCAAAGGACCTAATGTATTACCGGAAATGCGCTTCCAATTTCCCTTCAACCTGACTAACAAATTGACGATGGCTTTTTAACAGGCCAATCATGGTGCATGCTGGGGGATCCAGAACAAGGATTTCGGTGCTGTTTCGAAGACGGTCTTAGCCAGAAGTTAATATTTTCTGTGGCGCAAGTTAACTCAGCTGCGCCTCGAGGAGAATTCCTTTTAACAATTTTCAAGTGAAAAATGGTAATGGAGCTTCAACTAGTAAGTCAAAACAAACTAATTTCTCTCACCACGCCAATTAACTTTATTTAAAATAGACCACATGTACAACTGGCATAAATTTCCGTAAAGATCCGAGCTCCCCTAATACTGTGTTCAACATTTACTACGAAGCTTCGGACGCTAATATTCTGCGATTTTACTTTAGGAGGCATATCATCCATTTTGATGTCACACGTGAGACATGGTCAGTACTGAGTCGAAATCAACTATGGGAGTTTAGGGACGCTATCACGTCTTTCATTGGCTATAAGACAATTGCATGATGACCTATTACGAGGTTGCGCAGGCAAAATCCATCCCCAAAACAATCCCAGTGTACACTTCCACACAACAAGTTATCAGCCTCGCGCGCAATCAGCTCTAAATCTCGAACAACTTTACCTGTATTCGCTTCTCTGTCACTGATGCTTCCCTTACGTTCATTATGCCCAAAGAGAAGAATAACGTGAAGCACACTCTCACTGACAGGAACAGACCCAGAACAACAAATACCCTCTCTGGGGTTATTGTGTGCTCCGTCATCACATATGTGGTGAAAACAACAAAGCTTATTACTGCCAGGGCGGAAATATAGAATGCACCATTGATGGCCCGGAAAAATGCGTACCACTTTGTCTGATTGATCTCCTGTCTGGAAAGGAAACCATACTACAGTTAAAAGCTGCTTGTATTTCTAATTTGGAATGTTCAACTACATTGTACATGATGGCTATTTGAGCAAGTTGAGCTGGTTGAATACTTCTGAAAAGGCTCTAGACATAGAAATATGTATGTAACCACAATATGCCTAAATGTCCCTCGCACACCATAAGAACATTGGAATGTGTGTGTGATAGTGAATGACATGCAAACACTTTTGTATGCTAGGGACTGTTCGTTAATTATAGCTACGTGAAGTTGGTGTCTAGAATGAGGGGGTACAATTCAAACAGGCAGTTGAAAATGTTTTGTCTTTGCCTTACTAGAGAAGAAAAGTGATGACGTCACAAAAACTAAAGTTGTGATATTATGGGATAGGTTGGCATATCAAGAAAGAACAAGACGAAAATGTTCACTTGCCAAAAAAAAGCCCGTCAGTGCAAATTGGCGGGGAGATATAAGCAATGTTATGCTCCAATGACTCCATATAAATTCGTCTAAAATAGGGCTGGATCGTAAACGTTTCGATCCAAGCCAATTTTCGAAGGATTTGTGCGGAGTCATCAGAGCATTAAAGGTGCGTTTATCTCCCCGCCAATTTGCAATAAAAGGCTGATTCTTTTGCAAGGGGGCTTCTTTCATCCTTTTTGCTCTGAATATGCCTTCCAATACCATAATTTTACAAATTTGAATTTTGTGACGTCACACTTCTCTTATCTATTGTGTCGTCTTCATGAATTAATAATAAGCTCGGGTAAAGTAATGGGAGCAAACCTTCTAAGATTGGCTACCAGCTTAGCAAAAGGTTTTTCCCAGGTGTACATCTTGATGACTCTCATTCCAGAGATTATTTCATTCATCACTTTGATGCGTTCATCTGTAAGGGCTGCAATTTTGGATCTGAAAAAAATTAATTCACTCTCCCCTAAAGCTTACCCAGTTTCAGTGTTTTTATGATCAATTTTTTTCTAAGATTAAGTTTGTTCGTAGTCTAATTTTTTTGCTTAAAATCTTCTGCTGTAAAATGTCATCCCAGCGATAAGCTCTTTTAATTCAAGTTTACTGCGCCTTTCAATAACTTCTCACCTCTAAACTCAAAAATTTAACTTACGCTTTCGTTTTCCGTTTCCGTCTATCACCACGACGGACCTCTCAGGAAACATACATTCTTAGTGGTCGCATCTCATTGAAAATCCAAGAGCATTAGAAAAGTACGAATACCGTAAAATTCCGAAAATAAGCCCCTCAAACTCGTAAGGCAAAAAACCCTCCGTTAAATCGCCTCTCCAAATATAAGCCCCCCGGGAGCTTGTACTAGGAAACTGCCCTCAAACACAAAGTAAAACAAAGCAAAAACGGTAAATTGTCTTCCAACTATAAGGCTAGCCCAATCGATTTTGAAGTGCAAATTTCCCCCCATAGATAGGCCCCTCCGAATATAAACCCCTCCAAAAATAACCCCTCAAAAAGGGCCTTTGAAAAATATAAGCCCAGAGGCTTATTTTCGGAATTTTACGGTATTTTTTTAAACCTTGTTTCTTTGAATCAAGCTTAATTCATGACAAAATGAAAAACATAAGAGCACCATACGACGAGCAGCGTACAGAGCAGCGCACACTTAAATGCCGCAAAGTCTATCGTTCCAAACACAAAAATACCTGATCCCACGCGGTGGGAAATTCAGGAATAAATTACTGCAATACCACACTGAAATTTGATCATCACCACAACATCGAAAACACTTTTAAACTATCGCAAACACCCTTACGGGACTTTCCTTGTAAATTGTTTACTGTAATATTATAGTTTCATGTGGTAGCACTGGTCAAACAGTACCTCAAACGGACAAAGAATCTTCCAATCCACCACTGGAACGGTACAAGACAAAGGAATAGAAAAACACCAGGCAGAACAGCAAGCCCAACCTCTTGCCAGCAAAAGAATGCTACAACGCATACTGCCAAAGGAGCTATCCAGATGTAATGTGCAAACACTGTTGTCTTAAAAAATTAGAACAAGAGAAAATATAATATGAGTATTCTTAGGAAGGACCTACGAGGTAGGTGTGAACATTATCGGTCGGAAGGGTCATTAAGCAATTGATTGAGGACATGTCCACACAAAGGTGTTGTCGAAAACCTCGATTTTCGTGTCACCAAATTGAAAAACGTTAAAGACCTCTGTGTCCACAATTTGTTTCTTTACCATTTAAATGGGCAAACCGATCTGTTCACGATCTGGACAAATAATAAACAAAGAATCAGCTTTACCTCTTGCACAAATCAATCCCACTTACCGCAGAGATAGCCGCAAAAGCCTGAAACTGCTATTAAAAGTGGTTCTGAACTCATGGAATACGAATTTCCACTTGAAGCATTCGCACCGGGAAAACAAGACTACCTTTCCAGACGTTACTCCGCTACTCCCAGAAATTTGTCACTGGAACGACCCAGAATTAAGTGTTTATTTACTCTCTAACCGAAAATTTCCCAAAACGTTTTGTAAATGGTAAACCACCAACGTTAGCCATTGAAAACGCATACACCTCTAATGATACGCTTTCGCTCCCAGGCTCCTCTCAGACAAGTTACTTTTTAATTTCCTGCACTGTTGCTATGTTGTGACCAGGGGCCCGTTTCTCGAAAGTCACGGTAACATTTCGGGCCCGGAAAGCTGATTTATGTTTGCCGTACGCGTGTTTGCATTCAAGATCAAAGTTTTAATAATTCTGAAAATTATACAATGAAACTATCAGTTAATGAAGCAAAATTGACTGGACTGGTCTGTGAGCTAGGAACTGTGCTACAATTCAACAGGATTTGATATTAAAATTTGCCTTCCTGCCCGAAAAGATTCCTGGCCTTTCAAGAGTCAGGCCCCAGGGCGGATAAAGGTTGGGCGATGAAACAAGCGCTTTCGAGCAAAAAGGTGTGATGCAGTGGACTGGGATCAAATTATGAGCTACAGATCAAAGTGACGCCAAGTTGGGAATAACAGGGAAATGAGATATGAGTTTTCCAACTCTTCAATAATCGAAGAAAAATAGGGAGAACGAAGAGTTTTCAAGCCTTTTTGGGATTGAGCTTCATACCACTCAAACTAAAAGTACATTGTCTCGGAGGGGCAAATGTTGCTATTTTTTGCGGGAGGTTTAGTTAATTGAAGTAGACAAAGATCTCTTTAAATGGTTTCTCTGGTTACTTACATGACTACCAATTACATTTTCGTTCTACTACTCGCCACTGTCGACATTCTTCAAAAAAACAACAACAACTAAAAACTGTCTAATACACGAAGCAAAACCTAGTCAATGGCAAAACTAAAAGACAGCATATGGCGTTTTATTAACTAGATAACGTGTACGGTACTTTATACATGCGTGCAACTCGTGCAAGGTTAATTATACTTAATCTGAGACACCATCACGCTTATTTGCTATTTTCACAAAACATCCTATATGTCTTTCTGTTTCTTCGGAACTTTAAAATTAGTTGCCCCTTACTTTTACTGTTTACTTCGCTGTGTCTTTGTGAGAACCAGAAGACGCCCGAAGGCGTTTACGCGGAATGTGTCGGTGTAAGTAAGAATTATGTTGAATGGTATTGGAAAGTTGAGCAGTGTATCGAAAACAAATGTGTGCAGGAGAGACGGACATGTTCTGTTAAATACACCAGAAGATTAGTTTAGTTACACACAAGGGTTCCTTTGCTCCGCAAAACAAAACTTACATCAATGCTACCACCATATATGTTAAGAGTACGGAGTAGTTCGCTAACATTTGCATTCCTTTACTAATATCCTCAATAAATGCACTTCCACATTCAACAATAGCACGCAACGTATCAGAAATCCAATAACTACAGGGCGCGAGGTTGTGCTTTAAGGAAAGTTTTCTGGGATTTGGGCTCCCAACCATTTTAGCTGGGCTGCCCAGGCCTAAAAGATGGTCGCCCAAATAAAATTTTCGATTAACCCTTCGGGCTGCTAAATATTTTAGCTGAGGTGCCCAAGCCTCCAAGTTGGTCGCCCAACTTAATAAATCAGTGACCTGTTAGTCCATTACTAAAAATTTCACAAATTATTTTCTAAATAAGTCAAGCAGAACATTGTGTTTTGATTTTCATGAAAAATCACATCCTTTGACCTCCTGAGCGTGCAAAAGAAACCGCATTTTGTCATATGAAAGCAATGAAACCCATCAAAGTTTTCGCGCCATAAAAGAAACAAGGGCAACGCCGCCATATATTTGTTTTTTCTTCAAACAGAAAAGAGGACACAGGGGACACAAGGGAAACAAGAGACTCAGGGGACACAAGGGACCAAGGGGACACAAGGAACACAAGGAACACAAGGGACACAAGGGGACACAAGAAGACACAAGGGAACACAGGGGACAGAAGGAGACACAAGAGAACACAGGGAACACAAGGGGACACAGGGGACACAAGGGAACACAGGGGACACAGTGAAAAACAAGAGCCTCAAAGGGACACAGGAGACACAAGGGAACACAGGGGACACAGGGGACACAAAGGGACACAGGAGACACAAAGAGACACAGAGGACACAGGAGACACAAGGGGACACAGGGGACATGAGGGGACACAACAGAACACCAGAGGACACAAGAGGACACACGGGAAACAAGGCAACACAGGGGACACAGGGAACATAGGGGACACAACGGAACACCAGGGGACACAAGGGACACAAGGGAAACAAAGGACACAAGGGACACAAGGGACACAAGAGGACACAGGGAACGCGAGGGGACACGGGGGACACAAGGGGATGCAAGGGAACACCAGGGGACACAAGGGGACACAGGGACACAAGGCAACACAAGGGGACACAGAGGACACAAGGAAACGCAGAGGACACAAGGGGAGACAGGGGACACAGGTGACACAAGGGCACACAGGAGACATAAGGGACACAGGGGACACAAGTCACACAAAGGGACACAAGAGAACACAGGGGGACACAAGGCAACACAAGGGGACACAGGATACAAGGAAACACTGGGGACACAAGAGGACACAAGGGAGACAGGGGACACAAGGTGGCACAGGGGACACAAGGGGACACAGGGGACACAAGGGACACAAGGGGACACGAGACACAGGGGGACACGAGGGGACACAGGGGACACAAGGAGACAGGGTACACAGGGGACACAAGGGGACACAAGGGACACAAAGGGACACAGAGCACACAAGGGGACACAAGGTGACACAGGGTACACAAGGTGACAGAGGGGACACAAGGGACAGAGGGTACAGTAAGTAAGATGAAAGTCGCCCGGCTGGGTGACCTGGACAATATTTTCAGTAGCCCGAGGCCAGGTCTTAATCGCCTCAGGCGACTCGGCGCCTTAAGTTAAAGCACAGCCCTGACTTTGTCCCCCGCTACGCACTAAGCTTACTTTTTCCTCCTTTGCTGACGCAGTATCTATTTTGTGCTTGTGCAATCCAACCTAGCTTGCACGTGATTCGAAGTTGCAGCCAATAAAAATTACACAATTTTTCGGGACGGGCAAGGAATACGGGAAAGTTAAAAAACTCCCGAGAAAAAAACGAAAGGAATGCGCTAACGAATTGATGACTACGTCATCCCGCGTACAAACGGAGAAAAAACCTTTCAACTAACTATCAATAAATTTTGTTTACATGCCGTTGCCAGATTTGCGAAGCATTGCGTGAATCGCCATGGCGCGACTGCACCCGAGAGACAAAGTTAGAAGTAGTACAACACCACTTTATCCAAATATATCCAGTTAGTTTTTTTGGTTATGTTATGTAAAATTTATTCCCTTTATCATATGTCAGAATTACGGTTGATTAGTTTTGAGGTTTTGCAAACGAAACGGCGAAAGACGATTATGTCATATTTAGCGGCAGGAGGAGGCATTCAACACTTTCACATTTAACTCAAACATGGGCATTATACGACCAACAAGTTTGACTTAGACCAGAAGCGTTCTTCGGTTCCGCTTATACGCATACAGACTAAAACAAATGAAACTGTTTATCAATATTGTTATGACATGAATTTACTCATTTCACAGTGTAGGCTGAAATTACAGAAAGAAAATAGGACCTTTATCCGCCCTAGTTGTGAGCGAAGCAGAGTCGTGCATGTGTAGCTAAGAAAACAGCATTAAACCTTCGTTTTTGGCCATGTACAAGCAAGACGGTAGACCTACGTTTTCAAAAGATTTCACCTTTGAGATCGCTTTAAAAAGCCTTCATTCTCATGAAACTCTAATGTATCCGTATAGATAAAGCCGCGTTTTTTGGGACGATATTGGGGCATGTGGATATCACTCATGGAAAGCTGATTCAAGAGTTTAAACTGCAGTTACAAGCAAGCACACTATTTTTAGTACAAACCTGTTCCAGCTTTTGTACATCACTAGTCATAAGGTTCACTATTTGACCAGTTGTTGTTTGTGATAAGGCGGACTGACTTAGTCGTAGCACCTGAAGGTATAAGGGAAAACAAAGTGTTAAAAACTACTATCGGTCTAACCCTCAGTCATTATTTAAAAATAAAAAGGAAATAAAGTGAAAGAAGTCAGTCAATATCTACATTGAGTTCTAATACTTTTTGAACAACCAGCAAAAATATCGCCACCTAATCAACAACAGTCATGAAGAAGGCGGAAATGACCACCATTCCCCCACCAAAAAAAAAATGCCTTTACTTTCAACAAATTTTTCCTTAGTACAGTACATTATACAAAATATTAGGGTAAGAGAATAAATACGACATAAAGATTATACTGTATGCAAGGACCATGTACAAAAACACCTTTGGAGCGCGGAACGATACGTACAAAGAATTCAATACTAGCATACATCAATTAAGTACCAACCTTCCTATATACAACTGTTCCTGCAGCAATTCGTAGCTGTAAGCCATGTCTCTGATTCTTGAAAAAATTGGGTGCATGAATCGCCGCTTGAGTAAGATCAGTGATTGACAGAAGTAGAGCCATTATGTAGGCCTCCGTTTTGCTAATACCAGGAACAGGAGTGAAGTAACTGAGCAATCTGCCGATAATCAAAGGGGCAACGACTTTCATTGATTCCTACAAGAGAAAAAGGAATTTGCGAACTTTTTAACCAACAGCTGTATTTGTAAGCTCCAATTTTTTTATCATCTTTGCACGATTTTAACTGTGGACACTTGCACATGAACCTTAATTGTGAGAATCGTTTGATTGACGTTTTGATCGTGAACATTTTGTTATTCCTTTTATGGCGCGATAAATATATATTGCACGTGACTGGTTTTACATGTGCTTGTTCGGCATGTCTTCGAGTTAGGCTTTGGTTGATTGTATGCGAGAATTTGATAGTTAAATTATGACGATTCGTACCGGTTTCGAGGATGAAAGCGTTGAAATTACAACAAGCGAGTTTCCGTTTCTTATATTAATCAAGGTAAAGCCTATTAACAAATTTACAAAGCTAAAATTCAGTGCACAAAATAACAACACTGAAATGCAACTTTACATGTAAGGCTGTCTGTCTTGAAAAAATCATGGCTGGGCTGAGGCCATAAAATTTCCAGCATTGCGGGGAATTTAATGACAGTGTTTTTGCTATTACTTTGTTTTGCTCGCTTGTTCTTTCTGTGTGTTTTTTTTTTTTGGTTTGTTTTTTTTCAAGTTTTTTTTTTATTATTTTGTGGAGGGCAGAATTTTTCAAGGGAAATAAAATAATTTGCCAAATAATACACCTCTTTCCAAATTAGTGTCAAGTTTTGCCTCTTTGCTTATTTTTTATTTCCCTTTGGTTTTACAGTTATATTTATTTATTTATTTATTTATTTATTTATTTTTTGTCCTTAAATTTAGTCTTCTAATTGGCCCCCAATCGATGCCTCATTGCTAAGAAAACTTTTATTTAAATTCTGCAGGTGTGATCAAGGCAAAGAGGGCTGATAAACACAAAATGTAAAAGAAAAGTTGTACCGCCATTTTAGAATAAGGTGTGTATAGCCTATTTAAACCGTCGAGGCATAATATTAGGCCATCTCCAAACTTTCCCCGTAAATTTCAACCCACTCCCCCTTCCCTTATCATACGACTATCAACTAGTAGGTTACCTCTATAAAAGGAAAAGCTGTCAATATAAAATACTGCCATCCTAAGAATTTAAGGAATGCATTTCTTAGCTTTGGTCTTCTGTTTTTTCTCCTGGCTTCTTTTAACTCTTCATTCCATAAACTACAAAAAAAAAAAACATTTCTTCAGCTCCAGATCTTAGGTAAAATATATAAATACTTGGATATACCAAGGATGAAAATGACTGCCAGCCATCGGACAGTTGTCCAGTAAAATACAGTAAACACCTGCTAATAAGAAACTGCAGAGTAAGAACCTCCTGGCAGAAATTTGCCCCTTTAATACGTGTACCCAAAAATACAAGAACCTGTTTAGCCAAACAAGATCAGGCAGGTTCTTATATGAGGGTTACACTTAAATTATGATAAATAATTTTAATTAACAAAGAAGTGTACCTCTGAGTTGTAACTTCAAGTATAACAAGAACATACTGAACTAAACTGTATATATATTTGGTAATCAGTTTTCTTAGGGTTATAGTTATAGTTATACAATAGTAAATAAATTAAAAGTTTATTTATTTTTCTGGTAATCAACAATCTATCATCTCCTTCACAACAATAATATTAAGAACCTACTTACCCTAAATTTCCAATAAGTACCCCAAAATACAAGAACCTATTTTACCAGACTTCCAAAAATGTAGGTTCTTATTAGCAGGTCTTTACAGTACATTGTATGACATTTTGACCAGTTATATATTAGTCTGAGCTGTCAAATTAGCCTGGCCGGAAAGCAGGCCTGCCATATGACAAAGTATGGCACAGACAAGAAAGAGACTTCAATGAGTGTGCCACATACATTTTTCTACTCTCAATGCCTAGCTACTCAGGCTAGGTCAAGCACAATGACCAGACACTTTGACAAAACATTCTGCTGTTTTTTTTTCTCTCAGAACAATTCTAGACTTTTTTAATAGCATGTTAAGTTTACCAAGTAATTACCCATGCCTTGCTCAACTGGTTTCAATAGCAGTTTCAAAAATAAAATTGAAACAATTATCCATACTCCACCATAGTTCACCACTCAAACAAACCACCCTGCCCCTGAATAAGTCTCCTCTCTTCAATTTAATAGCCCCTTTTTAGTGCAAAATTGAAAAAAAGCATGGCCAACACTTTCTTGAACTTCAAACTGAAACTTACCTTTCCAGTCTGTCAGCCAAATGTTCACTCTCTTCTTCAGGTAAAATTCGGTAAATGTCAGAATTCTCAAGGTTTTGCTTATATCCTTTCTTAAACAAATCATTCATCCACCTAGTAATAGAGGGTAATGAACCATTAATGGACAAGTAATATTATATTCATAGTATTTTCCAGACTGTTATCAAAGACAGCTAGGGGATATCACTGCAAGGTTATGCCCTTAGAAAAAAATGAAGTGAGCCCTAGTGCTCTGAACCTGTGAAATCTAGGATGCCCAGCATACCGTAAACGTCTGATTATAGCCCCTCCCCCCCTCTTATTCATAGGCCCATCTACTTGTAAACAAAACAATACATCCAGTTATAATCCCCCCTCTAGCTTGTATTGAAATGAATTCAACTTTTTACGATGTTTTGAAGCTTAGAAAAGCTATCAAATTCAAAAAGTATTTTTATCAGGACTGCGATGTACCTTGTTTTTCAATGTTTGTTAGTCCGGTTAGAAGCCCCCGAGTCCCCCCCCCTCTCCTTATCCCCCTTTTAAAGCCCTTATGAAGTTGTATCAGCCCAGGGTTTATAATCAGAAGTTTACAGTATGAGTTTAATGGAAAAAAGACATTTAGAAACTAAGTAAGGCGCCAAGGGCACTGCTAAAGTGGCACAGTCCTGAAGAGGAAAGTAACAGGTGAGATGATATCATTGTGATATTTCTAACTTTTGCATCTGTGGGCAATGTCCTATGGTGTTACTACTGAAAGGAAATACCTTCAAGGCTGCACTTTAGCAGCCAGTGTTCATTCTAGAGTGCGTTTTTGCGCCATTTGCAAGTTTTTACAACCTACTGATGCAAATAAATTGTTTTCGTGAGTCAGTGTGTGAAGGAATGATTTTGTAAAATAACAAAAATGAAAAGAAAATTTCATCACAAGGAGCCTGGGATCTGGATGTATTACCTCGTGATACCAGTCAATCGGCATGCTTTCAACATGACGACAAAATTGAAACAAAGCAGGTTACGTTTGATGATTAATAATGCAACAGCTTCTTTGAACAATGTCAATGATGGACTAGCTGATGAGCCAGCAAACATTCCAGAAGCCACAGACAGCGATAAAGAGTTAAAGAATTAGCAGCAAGAACAAAGCTAATCGGGCAAACCAAGATCAAAGAAGGCAAGGGCCAAACCTCAAGCCAAAACACTTGCTGATTAGCAAACAAAACATGACTGGCTTTATGAACTGGGAGGGAAAATGTTTTGCAGAACCTGCTTCAAGAAACAACAAAAAGAATTCCATGACCGAGGGAAATTTGACTTTGACAGAGTGTTGACAGTGTGAAACAACAAAGCAAAACGGAAAATCCTATTAAGTGAATGACACTATGTTTTCCTACCATCTCACTCTGATAATCTATAGATGTTCAAAATGCTTTCCTTAGACGAGTTCTATGATAGCTAAGTTGCTACTATGTCTATGAGAAAAATAACTAGCTAAGCTTTGGTATGACGAAAGCCTGCAATAAAAATGGTGTTAAAGTTGATTCCGAGTCGTCCGTGAATGTCCCGTCCCAATAGTCCAATGTCCCCACTTTTTTAAAGCAAATGGGACACCTGTCCCAGTTTTGACAATAGTCCATTTTACAGTTACAGGTGGAAACAAGGCTGGAGTTGACCTTCTTTTGATACAACCCTTCCTGCTTTGTTATGTAAATCATGTCGTTCTTATGCGTATTTTTTAAGCATAATTTCCATAAGAAAAGGAAAGAGGTTAGGATTACAGTAAAATGGTCTATTTCTAGAATGAACACTGAGCAGCGCATTGTGGCCCCTGGCGCTTGACTTTTGCTCAGGACTGGGCGACCAGAAAATCTTTTAGTTAGCTTTTTTCATAGCATACTGGACACCCTGGACTTCACAGCCTAAAGGCCTTAAACCTTGAAGGTTAAAAGTGATTGCATAATACAATGTCACCCGTTCAGCACGTGCCGAGTCGATGAAAATGCACGCAGAATCTATTATCAAATATACGGAGGAAATTCTGATCGGAAATACAGCGTATAAGAGGCTAGCATTGACCTCGTTCGGTTTTTCGGTAGCCGGTTGTTGCTCATTTCTTGGAAGTCCATTAATTAATTCGATTATTAATGAATTGCTACGGGACATTTGTAAACAACACAGCCAGGGAACAGCCGCTATAGTATTAAATATCATAAATCTACTACGGAATATTTATCAAAACTTACCAATAAGTGAAAAACTTGCTGATATAGGTGGCTTTAACCATCGGATTGGCTCGAGTGTGAATTCTTTCTGCCGCCATTTTTCCGATCTCAGCGTAAGCTAGTGTACGTTCAACAAACGCTCAGGCGGCATTTTTTGGAGGAGAAGGAACTGGGAAGAGCTCTTATTTTAACCCAGTTTCCACTCAAGAAAAAAGTTCTCAAGAGTCACGAATTGTTGATTTTTTGTTCGGGATGGCAATTCCCATCATCGATTTATCTAATCTTTTAAACAGTCTTCCAACATTTGAAGAAACGACAGCTATAAGGAAAGCTTGCCTGGATTTCGGATTCTTCTACGTCGTTAATCACGGCATATCACGAGATCTTCAAGCAAACGTTTTGGGAAATTTGTGGAAGTTTTTCAACCTTTCAGCTGAGAAAAAGAGTGAAGTTCATCGAAATGACGGTTTTCGCGGATATTTTAGGAAAGAGGAGGAGCGAAGCATAGAATACAATTGCACGGAGTGGAAAGAGGGAATTTATTATTTTCGGGATTTTGACAATGTACCCAAAGAAAGAAAGGAAAAGGTTTTCTGTGGCTTAAATCCATGGCCTAAAGCTGAATATGTTCCCGAGTTTCGTGCAGTTATAGAGGAATACTTCAGGAAAACACAAGAATTAGCTTCAAAACTGTTGAGCTGCATTGCATTGAGTTTAGGTAAACAACTTTAATAATGGTAACAATCATTGTCATCATCATCATAATCATAACTATAACAAAATTCTCAAATCTGATTGGCTATCAAGTGTCTTGATTTCGGCACTAATAGGACAGTGTAGTAGGACAGTACGCATTGTGTCTAAGTAATTGGACAGTATATGCCGTCAGGCACAATCTTGAGTGGCTTTTTGTTTCACTGAAAGCAAAAATTCTCGGAATTTTTTTGTAATTTAATTTTTAAAAAAGCCTAAAATATCACAAATTTTGTTATAGTTATGATTAATTGGTAACTGAAGTTCATGTCTTCCAATTCAGTATGTAGTCATACTCGTGATTAAACAAATTGGACTTTAATCAATTGTACGATTGCAGACCAAATTGGACTCCACTCAGTTCTATTACCATAATTAATAATGGTAATAACCACCAGTGACTTTTTGTAACTGCTAAAAACAGGATAACATTCACTCCATGATCAAGAGACTTAAACTAAAACCAGGTTGTTGAGACAATGAGCCTTGTTGAGTCAATGAGCCTGATTACCCCCCCCCAAATATCCTGCCCTGCATTAAAACCATGTTTCCACTGACACTGTTGAACAGTTCATAATCTGCCTTTAGCTGTATGCCAAGGTTTGCCCAGTCCCTGTACGGCATTTACCCAGTTCCTCTCAGTCAATTGATTTCGGTGACGTATCCGAGGTGAATGCATGGACCATGCGTCCCGAAACGCTTTGGCCACATGGAATAATGAGGCCTAGGGACTAGGCAATGCCGAGATAGACAGTTACTTTCTATGGTCTTCTATGAACACTAGGAAACTAACAGGCGTCATACATTTATAGCAATACAGTTCAGTATTTTCCTGCAGGCTATCATTTTATTATTTGTTATTGTCATTTCTCTTGATTATTTATGGATAGTGTTAGGATAAAATTGATGTTGATTACTCTCAGGACTTAAAAGGTTAATTCAACTGACTGAAAATTAAGTTCACTTTTCCCAGTCTAGTAGCCTCAGTAAGTCTGAAACTTTTCTAGTCACATCTAATGAAAATCAGGCCTGTATTTAGCAGAAACTATATTTCAAATGCGGACACTTAAGGGCTCTTTGAGTATGCCCTTATTAACCCTCGGACGTTCATGGGGGGTGGGTTATGAGATATGACGGCATAAGTAGCAGGTGGTCAAGCCAATTTTGGGTGAAATTACATGTTTCTTCAACTTCTTTCAACAATAAAAGTAAATCTTGTGGTTAAAATCATGCAAAGTGTTTATTTATGTATTATTTTTCATGTAAAGCACAAAAAATTACCACTTCTTGCGGTTTTAACCTGATTTCCAATTCTTGGTAAAATCCAAGATGGCGACCAACATGGTGACCATTGTTGGTGACGTCACAGACCTCCCACAGTACCAACATCCATAAAATATACCTCATCTTGTTAAGAAGAGCAAAGGCTTTCCACTAAAGGTAAAATCGTTTCAAAATACTGCAACATATCGAAAACTCCAGAAAAACAGTGAAGGTATGAATCTGCTTGAATGTCCGAGGGTTAAAGGTTTCAATGGAGTGTAGACGCAAGATAGCACATTCTTCTGTATTCAGAATTTTGAACACCGACCTTTATCATCCCATTTAATTTTAGGTCTTAAAAGAGATTTCTTTACAAAAGAATTCACTGATGACCCCTTTGCTCAACTGGCAATGTTTCACTACCCACCCCACCCTGCTTCAAAAGATGGCCATGAGATATGGGGAGTGGGAAGACACACTGACTATGGCACTTTAACCATCCTTCTCCAAGATGACGTAGGTGGACTCCAAGTAGAGACTAAAGATGGCGTGTGGATTGAAGTACCCCCAGTTCCTGGCTCATTTGTGGTCAATTTGGGTGACATGATGGAAATCTGGACTAGTGGTGCACTCAGGGCAGGGCCACATAGAGCTAAAGTTTCACCAACTGAGCACCGGCTTTCAGTTGCCATGTTTTATGACCCAGGCTTTGACTGTGTGATTTCACCAGTTCCTCTGGACAAGACTCTAATTCCAGTGGAGAAGACCATGGCAAAGTTACCATTGGACTTCCCAATACGATATGGTGATTATGTTTTGAGAAAGTATTGTGGTATATTGCCAGAGGATAAGTCTTGATAAGCTTGAGAGTATTTGGTTAATTGCATGAATGAGAAATTGTAAGTGGCTCCACAACAGGTCTTTTTGGAGGCAAAAAATGGTTTTGGGCCATCGTAGGTTAATCAAAAAGAAAATGCAAGATAAAAGAAACATTGTATATACTGTACAAGATCTTAAGCCAGCTTTTAATGTCTACATCAGCAGTGAAAAGCTGATGCTTTATCAGCTGTTGCTTTTATTGTTAAGAATTTTGAATTCTTAATCTCATTTCCGGACCCCTAGTAAATTGTGCATGAATAGTCTCGTCAATAATCTGTAACAACCCCTTTAGATCACTTGAAAATGAATGGTGAATGGTCAAGTTTACATAAAAATGCGAAAGTTCACAGTTTTTATCACCGCTGTTTGTGTTTTATTTTTGATTAAAAAATGGTTTGTTTTTCTTTGCGCTCGAAGCATAGCCCCTATAATTTTTCATTATTGGTTCGCAACCATTTGACAAGGCGGCCATGTACGTTGGTGGTCAATACAACTAGTAGTAGTTGACACTACAGCTGCCCCCGTTCTGTATATTGTCGGTCAATAGTATTCTTGCTGGTTGTGTAGCTCTTTGAAATATACCGATTCATAATGAAGATTTTCACACATATGCCATACAATAGGTGAGATAAATACAGGAAACGCAAGGTTCCATGCACAGTTTCAGCTCGATTTACACAGCTTTGATCAAAACACTCTCAGTTTCGAGGAATAGTTTATTCTAAACCATACGAAAAGATTTAATTAGAAGTTGAATTTTTCGGTATTTCTCTTTCACTTTTTACACTCAGTTCATTTTATTTGCCGGAAAGTAAGCCTTAGAAATTAAAAGGACGTTTGATCGATTCACGCTCGCGCATTCTGGTCTTATTTGAAACTTTATAAGGCAAGGACATCTGTGAGCATAGCCTGTGAACAGGCTCTCTGTTTGGGGAAAAAATAGCAAGAAAAGAGAAGGGAAAGGACCAAACGCCTGTTCACAGGCTACTGTGAGCAGGGAAAAAGTCAGCACAGAATTTGATTGTTTTCGAATTCATGTAATTGTCCATCAATCTGCTAGTGATAAGCTGAGCCGTTGTTCACTCGTCTTCCTTGTTTGGGGCTGAGTCTTATTCCGGTCAAAGAGAGAGAAACAGGGGCACCCAACGAGGATATAGTTCAAAACCACTTAACATAGCATTGTTGAACGTATTTTAGTATTCAAACGGTAGATATAGGGATATTTTTAACCCCTAAAAACTTTCCATCTGTTCGGATTTCCTAGCTGAAAGTCTAGTGATCCGAAAATTATAGGGATAAAAACAGGAGCACCCAACGGCAATTTTCGGGAAAATATCTGTTCGGAAGACGATTTGAGATCTAGAATTTTCGGAGCATTTGTTGTAAAATTTCTTGCTTGCCTGACTCTCCTAGGATTTTCGAACATCTACCAAATTGTATAATTACCCATTTTAAACGGATTTTGACCCTAAAAAAGGCCACCTAGAATTTTCGGGAGCCTTTTCCTGGCTGAAATTTTCGAGAAGGTAAGTTTTTATCCCTATAATTTTCGGATCACTAGACTTTCAGCTAGAAAATCCGAACAGATGAAAAGTTTTTGGGGGATAAAAATATGCCTATATCTACCGTTTGAATACTAAAATACGTTCAACAATGCTATGTTAAGTGGTTTTGAACTATATCCTCGTTGGGTGCCCCTGTAAAAACTTACCTTCTCGAAGATTTCAGCCGGGAAAAGGCTCCCGAAAATTCTAGGTGGCCTTTTTTAAGGTCAAAATCCGTTAAAAATGGGTAATTATACCATTTTTTAGATGTTCGAAAATCCTAGGAGAGGCAGGCAAGCAAGAAATTTTACAACAAATGCTCCGAAATTTCTAGATCTCAAATCGTCTTCGGAACAGATATTTTCCCGAAAATTGCCGTTGGGTGCCCCTGAGAGAAAGAGTGTCTGGCAAGGTTTCCAATATAAATCAAAGATTTGTGAACTCGTGTCTACCAAGTGTGTATAAATACACAGTTAAAAGCACCTTATAACCTCATCTGCGCTTAACGAGTGTCTTTTGGCCCATAACTTTCAAAACAACTGCTCCACAGAATGTCACTGCTTAACTCAAAAGAGTATCGAAGTATGACTGCACCATAAATGTCACAAAATCTACCTGAGCGGTCCCTTCGGAATTTTCTGTCTTTACGTCATCCTAGCCATTTCGTACTTGCGGGCGCAAACAATAGAAACGTCATCATTACCTACCGATTCCTCGCGGCCCCCGTTCGAGCAAATCGAGATTTTTTCTAGTATACTGACTGTATATTTGAACTGTAAGTACTGTCCTTAATATACTTACTAGGGTGCCTCCTCGGGATTTCGCCTCCGGGCGAAATCCCTGAGGGGGCAATAATTTTTTTGGAAGAATGGAGTTCACTTCCCAGAGGAGAAAAATGCTTTTGTTGTTGTCCACTAACATTGCCGCCAAAGCATTACGTGCAAACCATCATTAGAAACCGGAAACCTATGGAAACGACGCGAGAAGATTTGGTTATGACATCAGCTTACGACTTTTGTCCGTCCGTACAGACTGTCAGGGTGGGGAAAGGGAGACTCCATAGAGGAGGGGATGGGAATTCCAGACGCGCACCTGGCGTTTGTAAAAAAAAATCCCATTTTGTTCAAAACGCATTTTTTTTTCGAATAAGTTATCGTAACGTAGTAATGTGTTCTTTGAGTAAACATAATAAAAATTTTTAGGTTTCAGGCACTTTAAATTTTGTTTACTAGACAGGGCACAAAAAGGTTGTTATCCAACGCTTTTCATCTACTTCTTTCAGAAGAAAGATGTACTTAGTATTACGATGAAATTTTGAGGGGTTGTTCTTAACGGGGCACAATCACAAGTCGAACACGAAAATTAGAACACCGTAAACTGCCGCTTAGAATCGAAGCCGCCGCCCCCAGTTATGGGCCAGCTACCTGCAGGTGAAATTGTTTTAAAAAAGAAAAATGGTCGGGAAGAAACGGACTCGCTCAAGTCCTAACTGCATAGTCTGCACGGACCTTAGCCCAGCTGATGCGATTGAAATATTCTTAGCGGAGCACCAAGGGTAATTCCTCCCTAAGCGGGGTTTATAATTTTGTCGGAATTCGAATCCCCCCGCCGTAACTCTCCCACGATGGTTTAGTATCCGCACTGCGCAGTTGCCTAGCAAAAAAACAGCTGGCAAACAAAACTGCACAAACCTGACCCAGTTGTTTTGGCGGCCGTTTTAGAGGTCAAGAAATGCTTAAGAGATACATTTTGAATGTAAAGGTACCTCTAAGAAAAAATGGAAGCGATTTGGACCACTAGTTTCAAAATAAGAGTGAAAATCGAGGTAAGAAAACTTGTGTTTTGAGTCCTACTTCGCAGACGAGTTGTATCGGCTTTGTTGGGCATATGTTCTTTGAATGTGATAAAATGGGATAAAACGGTTTTTACCGCCAAAAGGGCGGTTATTTTCCTGAAATATTTCTTTGAATTCGTTTGTAACAAGACTCTATCAGCTCTCAACGGCGCTCGCAGGCAGAAGTGCCACATGAGGGGCTTTAAACAAAATATTTTTTACAAATTGGATAAACATCCTCTTGTAGCGAAGTGGTGATGAAATGACCCTCCTCGCAGGATATGCTGGGTTCGACTCTGGAACAAGTTAATCGTTTTTTTATGTCTTTCTTCCTTTCCTTCTTTGGTTGTTACTATTGTTGTGTTTTATCAGTTCATTTATTTTCATATATTTTCTTTTTCTTATTGGTTACCGTTCTTCCTTCTTCTGGCATTCAGCCTCTGCTGCGCGAGGTTCTACGATTCACGTATTTCTAGTATTTGGTTATCTATGTATTAAAAAAAATTTGGTTGTGACAAATCGTACGCGTCCGTCCGTACGTCCACCCCTTCAGTTTATTGTATGTGAAATGTCACACTTACTAGCTTGGAGTCCAAGGCATACAACGTCTGTGTTTAACTTGATATTGGACATCCAGATTATGGTCAATTCAAAGCTGTCAAAATAGGGTATCCGCTGACCAGTGTCACGTGACCATATCACGGGCTCAGGTGTACAACTTACTGAGGTGACGTGTTCTTGTTAAAGTTTTCCGCTGATCAGTTATTGGGTTTTGAATGATCGCACGGTCAGGTCCAGTTTTTCAGGAGGAATTCAGTTTGCTCCTTCAGTTTATGGCGTAACCTGAATTACAATCGAACCTCTCCACAACGCCCACCTTGGGGACGGAGGAAAGTGGTCGTTAGTTTTCTTAAAAGATCCCACTAGAGCTTTGTTTTTGGCCTTGGTTAAATCTATATATCAACCGTTGAAATTGCTAACCCCCGACCCACTCGAAGCCATGCCATTTTTCACTGACCCGGTACATGGTGCAGGCCACCAAGGACCCCTCCGGAGGCATTCAATTCTTTCGATAATTTTAGTGATAAAATTGATGAGGAAAGTATGGAGCTTTTTCTGCTTGGGTATCTTAATCGCGACTTCTCTGGGATTGTATCTTGGAACTCATCCACCGTAGACTACAACATTTCTGTTTTTTGGATATTTATGGATTGCGTCAGTTGATTACTGAACCCAGCAGAGTAGCCAACAGTTCCCAAACTTTAATTGGCTGGTGAATCACAATTTTTTTTAATGTGATTGACTAGGGAGTTTTAAAACACCTTGGTCTCAGTAATCACTATCTGGTATACATTGTACATGACCGGAAAAATTAATTGCACTAGTGGTGACGGATGGTCTTTGCGAGCATTCGCGAGCCATGCGAGCACTGCGATTTTTTTGGGAGCACGAGCAGAGATAAAAAATTTGCTTTGCGAGCAGCGAGCAGCAAGCAGCTTAGAGAGTACAACTCGCAAGCAGCGAGCAGTTCTTATATTTTCCGCTTGCAGCAATCCATATGGAAATCCTTTTCTTTAAAATAAAACAGAAAATATTTTAAAACGGTGGCAGAACGTCTGTAGAAGGCCCTCACGGTGTTCCATCCTCCAAGACTATTTCGGGAACAAGAATGACCCTGGAGGCTTTAAAATTAATTCAACGTAAAATAGAAGCTGTACATTGAGATTACGTGAGCAAGGTAAATGTGAAAGCCTTGGTGGATCTTCTCATCGAGCATTTCAACTCAAACTAGAACAATCTCCTCTGGAAGAATCCTTAAGCTTCCAAACCGTTTTATTGAAAACACGGCCTAATTAAAGCCCAGTAAGTAGAGCGGTAGAGAAACTCAGAAGAATCAAAGGTAACAATATCTTCTCTCTTTAACCATTATATAGCTACAATGTAGAATAGCTAATTTATTATTAATCGTTGTCATTTATCGCGTGCATTTCCACTGAACTTAATAGCCATATTTACAGGAATTAATTAAGCACCATACAGAATTACACTTACTTTAACCCAAAAAAGGATTTACAAAATTCCGAACAACACTGACAAGAAAGCGAGCATACGAGCAACTGCAAAAATTTGGGGAGCACGAGCAAGCGAGCACTCGTTTAAATCTGCGAGCAAATCGAGCAATAGTAAAGTTCTGCGAGCAGTTAAAAATTTTATTGGACCGTTCATCACCCCTTGCACTCTTTCTGGTGGGTAGCTCATTACTAGAAACGAAGCAAACTATGAACTTAAATGTAAAAAATTTCTTGTTTGCAACATCTCTTTTTTTATATTTTCATGTGTTTCAGTGGTGAAAAGTATTTATATAAAATGTAACAATCTAATATCTGTATGCTGCAGTCTCCACACTTCTTGCCGCGACCCAGAGCTTTTGCTAAATGTTGGCAAGTGTGGTGTGTGTGTTTTTACTTTCTCATACGTTTAATAAAGTCGTTGTTATTGTTGCTATAATTGTCGTTGTTGTTTGGCAGGTTTAAGTAGATAGACTGGAGTTGCATTTCTGTGTTTTCCAGGCAACGTGACTAATGTGGAGCTCATGGGAAAATATACCTATGACCGCAATCGACAAATAAGCACCATTAAAAAAGGGAAGAATGAGCAGATCGGGGAAAAAAGGTCCCTTGAGTTTCTTTATATTTACTACATAAATTAAAAAAAAGAAAGCAACATTGACTAAATATCCAGTTACTCTGAACGGATGTAAAAAAGCAAGAAGCGAATCGAATAATTCAACAAAGCAGTGAAAAATGCGAGAAACAAATATTATATATGCCGGACAATTTAAATGAATAAATGAATGCATGAGCCTCAAATCAACAGAAAAGATCTACGTCGACGAAATTGAAATTAACAGTGGCACATTGATTTCTTCGCCCCAAATGGGCCCTTTGCAGCTAAACGGTCACCTTGCTGGGACGCTAATGACACATTGAGACAAGAAAAACAAAGAGATGTCCTCACCTAAAATTTTAATTTTCTTTCGTTTCGAGGTCCCACAGCGTCATTTTCGTCCCAGCAAGGTGTTTTGGTAATATGTTACTGCGAGAACAGTTCCTAGTGACTGCAAAGATATAAAGGGCACATTGCTGAAGTTTTCGAAGTTCAATTTACTAACATAGGCCCAAATTAGGCATTCAACATTCCATCTTGTGACATCTTAGACCTACAGCGTTTTCTTTTCGAAATACAAGAGTCAATAAGGTGAGTCAATTGTTCAAAAAATGTTTATGTCAAGAGTTCAACTGGATTAGATAACAATATACGTTGGAACGTTCTGAAATTAGCAACTGATATTTTGTTACTCATATATTTAACAAGACAGTACATACTGGAACCGTTCCATGTGAATGAAAATAACCTAAGGTAACGCCGATCTTCAAGAATGGTGTGAGGTCACATGTCAACGGCTATAGGCCAATATCTTCTCTTTCTCATATTCGAAAATGCCAAAACATTTCAAAAAGTAATCTGCGAAAAAGTCTATGAAAACTTTAACGAGAGTCTAGATCTATTGAGCAACCATCAGTCCAGATTTCGATGCCTACATAGTACAGTAACAGCTTTGCTAGCTCCTCGTCAGTAAATATTGACAGTGAATGCATAATGGTGTCATCTATATTGACCTACAAAATATCATCGACCATCAAATATTCTTTAGCAAAAGCTTGCTATGTCTGGTATTAATGGGAAATCTTAGACGTGGTTTGAGTCGTATTTAAGCAATCGCAGCCAAAATTGCAAGATCAATGGCTACTCATCACATGCGAAACAAATCGCATAAAGAGTTCCTCAGGGTTCCTTCGTTGGTCACTCACTTTTTCTCAAGTACATCAGCGATCTCCCAAATTTTAAAAAAAGGAAACTGTCTAAAGAATGTTTGCGCATGAAACTAATATTGCCTTGCCTCCCACTGACTTGAATGTCCTGGAAAGGGAGATGAACAATGAACTAAGAAACTAAACCTGTGGCCCATGGCAAAAACGTTAAGTTGAGTTGATTGGCTCTCGCCAAAGACTACGGCTGAAAAGCAGTCAGCGAATCATTTTGAAATTGTGAGGAAAACATATCAGCCAAAGAAGGCTAAAAATTTGGTGTTTTTATAGGTGACAATTTGACCTGAAAAGACGTGGAAGAAATTTCTAAGATCCTAGTTACACCTCTCTTGGACAAGTAGTTTATCAGCGATCAGCGTAAGCGTGTAAAATACCAAGAAATTTTTTAAAGAAAAACGTTTTTTTGAATTTTGTACTTACAGGTAGTCGCTGTTGTAATATCATCAGTATTATGTTCATCGAAGTTTTATTAGCTTAAAAGATATAAGTGCATAATGTTGCATCTAAGCAAATTGTAGTAAAAATAAACACAAAGACTTTTCATATTGTGTTTCAGAACATCACTATTCTTGACAGTGCAATACCGCAAATTTTAGCTGACAAGCCTCCTCGCGGTAAATAAAGTAGAATTAGACTAACACGTTGCAACTCAAACACTCTAAATACGTATAAGGTAGAAATAGAGGAGGACGGGAATTGTTGTCCTTGATAGAGCAGCATTTAAACGAAAAAGATTCATAAAAGAATCTAACCCTGGCATAAAAACATATATTACTTCAAGCCGCACGAAACTTTTTTTTTTCAGTATAATTATTTTACCTAGTGCCACTCTCCAGGAGTAAAAACGGTTTTTATCAACGCCAAAGCCGTGTAAAGGTCTATAAAACTCTTTAGAACAAAGTCTTCCAACTAGACCAAAATTTGAAGAGTGCCTAGCGAAATTCAAGCTACGCCTCGAAGCAGGCGGTTATCCGAAAAAAAATGTGAAGGAAAGCCTTTGTCAGTGGCCGGTGAACTTTGCTTCAAGACCTTCGTCGGCTCTTAAGGTTGAAGCTGTTTCTAGATACCACCCACCTGTACAAAATCGTAAACAAGTCGTGATGGAAAACTAGGGTCTAATAAAAAAATCAGCCTTTGCTGAGAACAACTGATCCATTTATGAAAACAGCTAATCTTGTCATATAAGAGGTAACTTTCAAGACGGCACGCTTGTAACAGCAAAGATGCAGAAAATATAACTTGAAGCTCTAATATTGCAACGCAACCGCAAAACTACGTGAGGTGACCATGGAAGCCTGTATTAACTTCCTCGTCCCCAGCTTCTTCAAAACCTGATGAGAACCTGTATTGTTGACATATGTAATACCAGAGATATGAATTTAATATTGAACCATGGTGCATATATAAATATACCCAGTTTTTCACTCCTGTGCGCGCATTTCCCAAAAACATCCAAAAGTTTACGATTTGTAAATTTTCCCGGAGCCTTTCATCGATCATGGCAATTCCCATTATTGATTTATCTAGTCTTGCAAACAGAACACCAACGTTAGAAGAAACAACTGCTGTTAGGAAAGCTTGTCTCGACTTCGGATTTTTCTACGTCATCAATCACGGGATACCAGGAGATCTTCAAGCTAAAGTTTTGGAGAAGTTGTGGAAATTTTTCAGTCTTTCAGCCGAGAAGAAGGAAGAAATTCATCGAAGAGATGGTTTTCGCGGATACTTTAGGAAACAGGAGGAGCGAAGCATAGAGTACAATTGCACAGAGTGGAAAGAGGGGATTTATTATTTTCGGGATTTTAAGAATTTACCCGAAGAGAAAAAGGAAAAGATTTTCTGTGGCTTAAATCCATGGCCTAAAGGTGAATATGTTCCCGAGTTTCGTGCAGTTATAGACGAATACTTCAGAAGAACACAAGAATTAGCCTCAAATCTGTTGAGCTGCATTGCACTGAGTTTAGGTATGAACCGATCTGAACATCCATATAAACCACTATTCTCAATGTCTATTAGGCTTAAGTGGAATTGCCGCTAAAGACAGCCCGATTACATAGGCCGAGACTAGGTTGCACCAATAACCAAAATAATAACAGTGATCAGTAATAATATGTATACAATCCCGTCTTGAGGCATTCGCAAGGGTTCCTCACAAGAGATGGTTGCCTGTTCGTATCACAAGGGGGCCAACAGGCATGATACATATTGTGAAATAAGCTCACCCTGCACTAGCATCATAATGCATGAGTCCAATGCGAACTTCTGTGACGGAGTAAAAAGCATCAAGCAATGTATTATCCTTAGGGCTTAAATCTTTCTCCTTTTCCTCGAGGGGTTTATCAATATTTTTCGCAAAGTTTGGTGATCGTAAAAATTATCGCCCGTTTACTATACATGTGTTCAACCTAAAGTTAAGGGATAGAAGCGATTCTTTCCTTTCCATGACAGTGAAGTGTCTCGGGGAAAAAACGTCAGAGAGTTTTTTCACAGCTGCAGATGCATGCCTGAAAGGAAACAAAACTTTCAAGACTTTTCTCAAAGACTCTTGAACGGTAATATTGAAGCTGACACCTCGAGCCAAGAGAAAGAAAATGCGATAGCAACAATACTGATCACAAGCCACATTCCCTTTCTTGAGCATTGATTTTTTTCTTTTGAATTATACAATCTACCTTCTGTTGTTACTTACATATGATAATGATGATAATGACCCGGACACTTTTAAAACGTGTGTGGACTTTAACTGTAGAAATGCAAACATAAAGCTATTTTTTTGTCAATGTATCAGGCAATAAAAATTAAAAATAAATCTTTCGAGGTTATCACACTTAACCAAAATTAAGGAAGCAGGATATAGAATTTTTTGAAGCCTCAGTATGCCCCAACCTTGTCCAATCATATTTTCTGTAATGCACCTCTACTTCAACAGCAGAGGCTGGGACTGTCCTTAACACAGGTTTCACTGAATTACGGATACTAGAAAGAACCTCATCTATCGTTTATCTTCAAAAGTTCTAAAGACCATCTTTCGTCATCTCATTTTTTTTGCAGGGCTTGAAAGAGATTTCTTCATCAAAGAATTCACCGACGATCCCTTTGCTCAACTGGCAATGTTCCACTACCCACCCAACCCTTTTTCAAAGGATGGCCATGAGATATGGGGAGCGGGGAGGCACACTGACTATGGCATGTTAACCATCCTCCTTCAAGATGACGTAGGCGGACTCCAGGTAGAGACCAAAGATGGAGTGTGGATTGAAGTACCTCCAATTTCAGGCTCATTTGTTGTCAACTTGGGAGACATGATGGAAATCTGGACAAGTGGTGCACTCAGAGCGGGACCGCACAGGGTGAAAGTTTCCCCAACTGAGCACCGGCTTTCAGTTGCCATGTTTTATGAGCCAGGCTTTGACTGTATGATTTCACCAATTCCTCTGGACAAGACTCTAATCCCTGTGGAGAAAACGGCAGCGAAGTTGCGAATGGACTTTCCCATTCGATATGGTGACTATGTACTGAAAAAGTTTTGCAGTATCTTGCCAGCAGATAAGCCTTAAAGGCAAAATCTATTTGATTGCATAAATGAGGCATTGCAGGGATCCACAGTTGGTCTCTTTGAAGGCACATAATGATTTTTTTTTTCAGTTTATAATTTTTTTCTGTGATTTTTACAGTATGCACCTTAATTGTTGTGTTGAGAGGAAAAGCGATTCAGGTTATTCTGATTTGATTAAGGTAAGGTAATCTTTATTTATACACGGTGTTACAAATTCATTAGGCTTGAAATATTTAAAAAAATTAAAAACCTTAATAACATTATTCGATTAAGTATATACGAAAAAAAAACCAGCCTGTTTTCCATGAATGCCGTGCCTTACTTTATATTATAATAACTGTGCAAAAGTGATTTAAAAATACGTAGGGATTCTGCTTGCCTTAATGTTTGAGGACGACTATTCCACAGAAAAGCACCACTGTAGCGAAAAATATTTCGGAGATAATTTGTGCGTGGCTGTGGAATAGTTAATTTATTTACAGAATCTCGAAAAGTGTATGAAGTAGTATTAAATCAAACAGTAAATTTCGAACTTGGGTTAACTCAGGAGCAAGGCCATTAAGGGATTTAAAACCCATTAAAGCTGCTTGGATATCACACTAAATACTAAGACTTTCCAATTTAAATTTTGGAACAGCTGCGATGCATCTGCCTCATAGCTTGAGAAAGTTAGACCTCTCGCTGTACGATTTTGGAGTTTTTGAAGTTTGTCTGCTATAGGTTTATGCCACCTCTTCCCCAAACAACATTGCAGTGCGGCTGAATCAGGGTTTTGTAGATAAGATGCAATGTTGCTGGGGGAACAAATTGCCTGATCCGTTTGATAGCTGCAATACCAGATACATTTTTTTTAGCCAACTTCTCGACATGACTGCCCCAGGTAAAGTTTGCATCAGTGAGTACACCTAGAGATTTTGACGTTTATACCTGGTTTACGGGAGTACCGTTGATGCTCAGAACGGGAGAGGCAGTTAGGGTGTTTAGCTTTTGTCACGAGCCGATTAGCATAAACTCAGTCTTAGTCATATTAAGTGTGAGTTTGTTGGCGATCAGCCATTTGCTGATATTTAGCAAGTCTTCATTCAAACAGGACTGAATGATATTAACACCTTTATCAGCGTAGGTAAGGTGCGTATCATCGGTATACATTCTAGGATAAGAGTTAGTTAAGCATTTTGGTAAGCCGTTTATATACAGCAAAACAATAAAGACCCAATATAGTTCCTTGAGGGATACCACACTGGAGAGAGCATTTTTTGGAAAGTGAACCACTAAAAGACCATATTTGAGTTCAGTTTTCTAAGTATGATATAAACCAATTGTAAGCATTTTGTTGAATTCCGTAAGCGTTTAATTTAGATAGTAATATCGTGTGGTCTACTGTATCACAGGCCTTTTTTAAATCTAGACTACAGCATTAACGTTTCCACGATCAATTTTAAAAGCCCAGCTATCGGTCGACTCTACTAGAGCAGTGACCGTAGAATGGATAGAGTGAATATCCGGATTGACTTTTTGAAATAATGTTATGTTCTGATAGGTACGCGTATACTTGATCGTACGTTTTCTGAATTTCGAATACCTTGGCCACCACAGAGATAACAGAAATGGGACGGTAATTGATCATATCACTCGAACTTCCCTATTTGAATAAAGGGGTAACTTAAGCACATTTCCAGTCATCTGGGAATATACCTGTGGTCAAAGAACAATTAAAAATCTTGCAAATAGAAATGCAAATTAAATCAGCACATTCACGCATTAGTCTCGCAGATATTTTATCGAGACCGGTTGCATTTGATTTGCTAAGTTTATTCAATAGTGAAAATACTTGACTGCTATTTGTTGGAATGAAACAGAATCTTTGAGCAGTTACATTAAACGTACAATAAAGATGTGTATAAAGTAACAGCAACCTTAATAAATTGAACCTTAAGTTTGACTTACACGCTCAATCGCATTTGTAAAAGAATTAGAAAATAAGAATAAAAAACTTGTACAACATTATGGTATGAAATAAAATTTTTCTAGCTATTGTTACATACCCTGTTTTCTTTTTCTATGGGCAACCAGAATAAGGAAAAATCGCATGTCCTCTTTTTCACTGGCATATAAAATACATAGAGGATATTACACGGTGGCGCGAAGATATGAATTTTATTTTCGAGTGTCAAAACAATATTTTACGAGCGAGCGCAGCGAGTGAGTAAAATATTGTTTTTGCCACGAGAAAATAAAATTCATATCTTCAAGCCACCGTGTAATGTTCTTTTTATTATATAGACAAAAAGACATCGATAAGATAATAGAGGAAAATGACCGAAATCACGTCATCGATAACCTCACGTGTAAGATTATGGAAAATAAACCACTCGGGTCCCGGGTGTAGTTTTTATGAATTTCACGACTGATATATTTTCCAGTAAAACACTCGTGCTATATAATAAACAGGCTTAATGTGAGGTCGTAAGATTTATAATAAGTTATATCTGTTACCATGTTACCTTGTTATCTTGTTACTCTGTTATCTTGTTACCTTGTTACTCTGTTACCCTGTTACCTTATAACCTTGTTACTCTGTTACCTTGTTACTATGTTACCTTGTTACCTTGTTACCCTATTACCCTGTTACCCTGTTACTCTGTTACCTTATCACCCTGTTACCTTATTAATCTGTTACCCTTGTTACCCCTTGTTACCCTTGTTACCCCTTGTTACCCTAAGTTATATCCTATCCTATCTGTTACCCTGTTACCTTAATATCTTGTTACTCTGTTATCTTGTTACCTTGTTACTCAGTTACCCTCTTACCTTATAACCTTGTTACTCTGTTACCTTGTTGCTATGTTACCTTGTTGCTATGTTACCTTGTTACCCTATTACCCTGTTACCCTGTTACTCTGTTACCTTAACACCCTGTTACCTTGTTAATCTGTTACCCTTGTTACCCCTTGTTACCCTAAGTTATATCTCTTACCCTGTTACCTTAATATCTTGTTACTCTGTTATCTTGTTACCTTGTTACTCTGTTACCCGGTTACCTTATAACATTGTCACTCTGTTACCTTGTTACTATGTTACCTTGTTACCTTGTTACCCTATTACCCTGTTACCCTGTTACTCTGTTACCTTATTAACCTGTTACCTAGTTAATCTGTTACCATTGTTACCACTTGTTACCCTTGTTACCCTTGTTACACCTTGTTAAAACTTCTTACCCTTGTTATCCCTTGTTACCCTTGTTACCCCTTGTTACCCTTATTACCCTTGATACCTCTTGTTAATCTTGTTACCCTTGTTACCCTTGGTATACCTTGTTACCCCTTTTTACCCTTGTTACCCTTGTTACCCCTTGTTACCCCTTGTTAACCCTTATTACCCCTTGTTACCTTTGTTACCCCTTCTTACCCTTGTTACCCTTGTTACCCTTTGTTACCCTTGTTACCCCTTGTTACCCTTGTTACCCCTGTTACCCCTGGTTACCCCTTTTTACCCCTTGTTACCCTTGTTACCACTTGTTGCCTTTGTTACCCCTTGTTAGCCCTTGTTACCCCTTATTACCCCCTGTTACCCTTCTTATCCATTGTTACCCCTTGTTACCCTTGTTACCCTTGTTACCCCTTGTTACCTCTTGTTAATCTTGTTACCCTTGTTACCCTTGATATCCCTTGTTACCCCTTTTTACCCTTGTTACCCTTGTTACCCCTTGTTACCCCTTGTTAACCCTTATTACCCCTTGTTACCTTTGTTACCCCTTCTTACCCTTGTTACCCCTGCTACCCCTGGTTACCCCTTTTTACCCCTTGTTACCCTTGTTACCACTTGTTGCCTTTGTTACCCCTTGTTACCCTTGTTACTCTTGTTACCCCTTGTTACCTCTTGTTAACCTTGTTACCCTTGTTACCCTTGTTACCCTTGTTACCCTTGTTACCCCTTGTCACCCTTGGTATCCCTGTTACCCCTTGTTACCCCTTTTTACCCCTTGTTACCCTTGTTACCCTTGTTACCCCTTGTTACCCCTTGTTACCCTTGTTACCCCTTGTTACCCTTGTTACCCCTTGTTACCCTTGTTACCCTTGTTACCCCTTGTTACCCTTGTTACCCTTGTTACCCCTTGTTACCCTTGTTACCCTTGTTACCCTTGTTACCCTTGTTACCCTTGTTACCCTTGTTACCCCTTGTTACCCCTTGTTACCCTTGTTACCCTTGTTACCCCTTGTTACCCCTTGTTACCCCTTGTTACCCCTTGTTACCCTTGTTACCCCTTGTTACCCCTTTTTTACCCTTGTTACCCTTGTTACCTTTGTTACCCCTTGTTACCCCTTGTTACCCTTGTTACCCCTTGTTACCCTTGTTACCCCTTGTTACCCTTGTTCCCCTTTGTTACCCCGTGTTACCCCTTGTTACCTTTGTTACCTCTTGTTACCCTTGTTACCCCTTGTTACCCTTGTTACCCTTGTTACCTTTGTTACCCCGTTTTACCCCTTGTTACCCTTGTTACCCCTTGTTACCCTTGTTACCCTTGTTACCCTTGTTACCCTTTGTTACCCCTTGTTACCCCTTGTTACCCTTGTTACCCTTGTTACCCTTGTTACCCTTTGTTACCCTTGTTACCCCTTGTTACCCTTGTTACCCCTTGTTACCTCTTGTTACCCTTGTTACCCCTTGTTACCCCTTGTTACCCCTTGTTACCCTTGTTACCCCTTGTTACCCCTTGTTACCCTTTGTTACCCTTTGTTACCCCTTGTTACCCTTGTTACCCCTTGTTACCCCTTGTTACCCTTGTTACCCTTTTGTTACCCTTTTTACCCTTGTTACCCCTTGTTACCCTTGTTACCCCTTGTTACCCTTTGTTACCCTTGTTACCCTTGTTACCCTTTGTTACCCTTGTTACCCCTTGTTACCCTTGTTACCCTTGTTACCCTTGTTACCCTTGTTACCCCTTGTTACCCTTGTTACCCCTTGTTACCCTTGTTACCCTTGTTACCCTTGTTACCCCTT